CCGCTTTAGTTAATTATTTTTTTATTTCCTTTTTCTTATATATTTATATATTTAATACGTATACTTATCCGATCGATCGATATTCCAATTTTTATCGAAATACTATCGAAATACTCGATTTAAATCGCATAATTTCTAACAATCAAAATATGGGTTTAACCGAAACGGGATATTACAACAATTTGGTGCCTAAAATTTATTTTTTGTCCGAAAAATATCATTAAAAATTATATTTTGGTACCTAAAATTTTTAGTATGACATTTTAGTATCCAAAGTTTTCAAAATTTACATATTGGTGCAATGCTTGGTTATCATTTGGATCCATGGCTCAATACACCAATCCATACGATTCAATCCATGAATCCACCAATCCATTTGACCAATAGATATGCTAATCCAATCTACCAATCCATGGATACAATCCATTTGCCACCTCTATGTAGTAGTATTACCTCTATATCGGATTTTTTTGGGAATTTGTGAAATATGTATTTCCTTTCATTAACATGAGAGGATTTGAGAATATGTAGTAAATAACACATGTGCTAGGTAAGCTATTGCCATCCATATATGAAAATTTGTGTTCTTTAAAAGTATATATGAAGCATGTTTGATATTGTTTTTAAGAACGCTCATAACCCAAAATGACCTGCAAACCGTCCAGACACCCCATGAGATGAGTCAATATTTGACCCAAAATTAGCCAACCCAACCAACATGACCCAACCCCATGATGACCAATAACCCGAGATCCCCAACCCGATTGCCAGATCCAAATCATACCGAATCAAGTATAAACGCTCTAATCCTTGGTCCTATGAATTTTATATTTAATAAAATAAAATGAAACGAATTGACATTTTGACCGAACCGAATGCAATTATGATCTCATACTAACATGTCTTTCACTATTGAACTGCATTTCTTATAAGTTTGGTCTGTTCCGAACATGACTCCATTGTTGCACACTCTTATAAGCAATAAACTCTTCAAATTATAATACAATAAACTCTTCATAAATTCTAAAATAACTTTGTCCAAAACCTTCATTCTCCAAAATCCAAATACAATAAACAAACGACTTCCAAAATGAGTAATATTTATTTAAGGCATATTCGTAGTATTTAATTGGTACCTACCCCGGCCTATTTTCAGCCGTTCATTTAGGTAAAAATAATATTGAATTAGAATTGAATGGAATTGAATTGAATGCCGGAGTTCTCACAATTACGCATATACCCTTATTCCCATCTCCTATAAATGGCCATCATCTCCTGGTTAAATTCCGCTCCACCTTCTTCCTGCATTCTCTTCCCATCACTCTCATTCCTCGTTTTTTCCCAGTTCCTTAGAAACAGGGGCGGATACATGGCACTCTAGGGGTGTCCCGCCCTAAAATTTGGGAAAACGATTATCCAACCTCTGATAATAGTTTCGTATGGGTATACAAAATATAATTGGTAATCCGGGACACCCTAACATTTGAAAAAATAATTATCCTACCCTCGATAATAGTTTGCTTATGATTAACAAAATATAAGTGGTAGTCCGTGTTATTCCAACCTAGGACACTACTATTATCAAACATATTCTAATTATGTTGCTACTCATTTGTTATTCTATTTTAAACATCATGCAACAGTAAAACGCTATTTCTTTATCCCCAACTATTTTCAATACCTAATAATTAAACTACGTACACGCTACCCTTAATTTTGAATTGAGTTTATGGTTACATGGCAAGTGTTGAAAGAGTCTCTTCTACTTCGAGCTACATTAAGAACAAGGTTAGAAATCGAATATGTGATAAGTTCGTGAAGTATTGTTTAGTAGGATATGTAGATTTTTTTTAACAGTGCAGACACGGAGTTTATTTATATTATTTTTTCAAAATATGAAAACACATCATGAATTTTAATAAAAAATTTTATACAAGTATGATATTTTTAATATACGAATTATTTAATTTATGAATTTGCTACGGTGACATGCATGTCACGGTGACATGCACTTTCCGGTCGACCTCATATAGGATTAGGTCGACCTAATCTGTTGTTTTAGTGTAAAAACAGTTTCATGGTGCCTACTTTGGAGATTCATATCTTATAATTGGCTAGATGAAAATTGGAGATTAATGGCTTGTTTTGAAGCTGAAGTGTCCCTCTACACATTAAAGTACTTGGGAGCTCGATAGAAAGTCTAGAAGACCATTTTTTAACCTGATCAAAAGGCTATGCCAAAACTGGGAAACTGCTTGAAAATGGCCAAGTCTGGGAACGTGTTTGTGAAGCCTACTTTGGAGCTCAATTTGAGGAGTATGGTTGCGATTCGAGTCCAGGGGCCTCTACCATGTTAAATTAGGTATGTTTGTCTACAAAGGAAAGGCACTGGATAAAAGATTGGATATCTTTAAGGCTTCAAACAAAAGGCTCGAAGTTGCTACAAAGGCTGTTTTTCTGGCAACTTGCTTGTGAGGTCGACCTCATCCTAAATGAGGTCGACCTGATCCTAAATGCGGTCGACCTGATCCTAAGTGAGGTCGACCGGATCCTAAATGAGGTCGACCTGATCCTAACTGAGGTCGACCGAAAAGTGCAAGTCATCGTGACATGCATGTCACCATAGGCGCACCCTTTAATTTATTATTTAATTTAATTTTTAAGAGGACACCCCTATGAAAATTTTCTGAATCCGCCACTGCTTAGAAACCCTATTATTTTTCTGATTATTACTTTCTTTTTATTTAGTTGATGCAGCCGTTGATGGTGTTATTGGGCTAATCAGTAGATGCATACCGCCTATAAATCCAACTGATCCAGAGTGCTTCCACTTATTTTTCTGGAAAGATGAAGAGAAAAAAGAAGCGCCACGCTCTCTTCTCACTCGGCTCGTCGGTCAAACCTGCCAGGTCGTCCGAGTTAGACCGGTGTTTCCCGTTTTTGGCCAAATCCCGGCGGACAGCTGGCACCCGGATAGGATTCCGGGTCCAGGTCGGGTCCGGGGCGAAACTATGCCCTGAAATCATCCGTATATAACAGCGGCTTATGGTAACCCTACGGGATTTTCTCCATTAGTCGACCTCTGCGGCCGATCAATACTCGCCAAGTACGCTGCCAGCTTTTCCCTTTCACTCCCGACGTAAGCGCTCATTTGCTCCCAAGGTATCGTCTCTCGATCTCTCTTTGCTTCCACGAACCAGATTTCTTCAATTCGTTTCTCTGAGATCCTAAGTTTTGACTATGGCAGTCTGTATACTTTCTCTTCTGGTTTGCTGTACTCAGCGTAGAAACTTAGATTTCTTCAATTCGTAATCGTCTCTCGATCTCTCTTTGCTTCCAAGAACCAGATTTCTTCCATTCGTTTCTCTGAGATCCTAAGTTTCGACTATGGCAGTCTGTATACTTTCTCTTCTGGTTTGCTGTACTCAGCGTAGAAACTTAGATAGCAATTTGTTAGCTCGAATTCCCAAATTGGTAATCTGAACCCCGATTTCCCCCCATTTTCTTGATCAATCACTCACTGCTAACAACGAAAGACCAGCTTAAGCAGTGGGGTAAGATTGGAAATGATGCATGTGTGTTGTGTGGTCTGATGTGCTAATGTGCTATAGGATAGTCTTCAGCTGGTACATGTAGCCTGTGTTCCATGTTAGGGTTTGAGGCATACTTAAATTGCAGTGTTAGGAGGTTCAAGGGGAAGATAGCCTCTGCCATACTTGGCTTATTGCTGTGGAATGTGACAGTTCTGGAGCGGAGCAAGAGAATTATTGGGCTACCCTGTGTTGGTAATGCAGCTATGGCGGTAGATTGTAGTTGTCTGTAACTTTGTTCAGTTGTTATTTAGTTGTACATGTGGTAGTGAGTTACTCTGATTTGGCTGCTGGAAAGTGCAGCAATGTACTCTGTTCTTGTACTTTTGTGGGAAGGTGCTGTGCTGGTTAAAGTTTTGATTGCTCTTTGCACACCTGCCTCGACTACCTGAACCCTAGTCTAGTGCTTATTTCCTTGATTGCATTGCCTTTTTCATATGTATTTTTTGTTTTGTTTCAGATGATGGATCCCCGAGATGGTGTTCATGCGAAGTTCTGCCAAGTTCCTGCAGTTAGCGGATGGCTTAAGGGGCTATATGAGATAGCAGGCTTCACATTACACGCGGAGGTGTTGACTCATATGACCTCTTCACCTGATTTGCCTAGTGCAGAACACGTGGCACCCATCAATCTGCAACGAATGGTGAAGGTATTATGGGATAAGGTGACACTTATGGAGCCTTTTCTACTCGTAAGAGGACTAATCTGGTAATTCAGCTCAAGAATTCTCACTTCCCCTACGACAATCTAGAATTCCCATATATTCCGGCAGCTGGTGTGGATGCTCTCCAGGTATTGTCTCTTCTTCTCTATCTTTGGTTCGAACCACGATTTCTTCAGGTGCATTTCTCTTCTAGTGAAACCCTAAGGTTTGACTTAGCCCGTATGTTTGCTTCTCATCTAGTTTACTCTGTCTACATAGTGTAGAACCTTGTAGCAATTTGTTGGCTCAAATTTCATCAACGATCCTTTGAACCCCAATCCCCCTCGATTTTCTTGATCAATCACTCGCTGCTACTCCTTTGCACACTTGCCTCAACTAGATGAGCCCTAGTCCGGTGCTTATTTCCTTGGTTCGCATTGCCTTTTCATAAGTATTCATGAGCTACAAAACAAGCTTACTCGCGTTTGGATTAAACCAAGATCCTTAAGTGCCACCTTATCCCATAATACCTTCGCCAGTCGCTGATTGAGGAATGCCCCCTGTTATGCAGTAACCTCACCCTCATGCACCGTAGAAGAGGGCACATCATCTAGCACCTCAGCATGCGAGGGCACATCATCTAGCACCTCAGCATGTAATGTGAGGGCTCCTATCTCAGACAGCTCCTCAAGCCACTCCCTAACAGCGGGGACTTGGCAAAACTTTACATGAATAACAGCATCTCAAGGATTCATCTAAAATCCAAAATAAATACTTATGAAAAGGCAATGCGAACTAAGGAAATAAGCACCGGACTAGGGCTCATCTAGTTTAGGCAAGTGTGCAAAGGAGTAGCATCGAGTGATTGATCAAGAAAATCGAGGGGGATTGGGGTTCAAAAGATCGTTGATGGAATTTGAGCTAACAAATTGCTACAAGGTTCTACACTGAGTAGACAGAGTAAACTAGATGAGAAGCAAACATACGGGCTAAGTCAAAACTTAGGGTTTCACTAGAAGAGAAATGCACCTGAAGAAATCGTGGTTCGAACCAAAAACAGAGAAGAAGAGACAATACCTGGAGAGCATCCACTTGTGTTTCGTCAGAAGGAGGAGCATCCACACCAGCTGCCGGAATATATGGGAATTCTAGATTGTCGTAGGGGAAGTGAGAGTTCTTGAGCTGAATTACCAGAGTAGTCCTCTTACGAGTAGAAAAGGGCTCCATAAGTGCCACCTTATCCCATAATACCTTCACCATTCGTAGATGCTGTTATTCATGTGAAGTTTTGCCAAGTCCCCGATGTTAGGGAGTGGCTTGAGGAGCTGTCTGAGATAGGAGCCCTCGCATTACATGTTGAGGAGCAGCATGCCCTCTTCTACGGTGCATGAGGGTGAGGTTACTGCAGAACAGGGGGCATTCCTCAATCAGCGACTGGCGAAGGTATTATGGGATAAGGTGGCACTTAAGGATCTTGGTTTAATCCAAAAGCGGGCTAAGCTTGTTTTGCAGCTCATGAATTCCCATCTTCCCTACGACAACTCAGATTTCCCGCCTCTTCCGATAGCTGTTGAGGATACCCCTCCTCCCGTGCCAGCCCAGGAGGTGCCTGCTGCTCCTCTACAGATAGTTGTTGTTGTGGATCAGCCAGCTGTTGTGGATGCTCCTCCTCCTGAGGTGGCTGAGGTGGTGCCTGCCGCTGCATATGTTGCTCCTCCACTGCCAGATGTTGTGGATCAGGCAGCTCAGGAGGTGCTCGCAGCTGCATTACTGGCATTTGCCGATCAACATTTCACACTTCACGTGGATCATAGAAAGCCGGCCGGGTCCAAGTGGAGTGATGGTGAACACCGCCATCTGGTGCTGGCTTCGAGGATGCTGGGACCTTCCAACTGTTCCTTGATCAAAAGGTTATACTTCCAGGGTTCGGAAAGATCATCTGTGAGAGCTATAGAGAACAAGGTAAGGAACATGAAGAGAGACGTGAAGGCTAACAACCTCGATGGGTAAGTTAATACATTCTATGTTCTCCCTCATAATACGTTTCTTCCTTTGTATTTTATTCTGTTTATAACTTGCACATCAACTCTGTTTCAGGTATTCGGAAGATGTGCAGGCATCTCTCTTGGAACTTTTCCCACATGCTGGAGGAAACTGAGATCGGACAGTGGCGAGTTGTTGATGAGTAGTGTATAGACTGAAGTTAATGCATTCTATGTTTTGTTACTATTTGGGTTATCTTTTGGTTACTCGGTTGTTACTATTGACTGAGATGGGTTTCTACTCGGGGTATCTTAGTTGGTGGCATCATGGATTGTCTATGGATATAAGTATGAGCGTATCGTTTCGAACTACTTGCTAGCAATTTTCCTGTCTTTACTATTATGCACTAATACCAAAACAGGTGTTAGCATCTTATTCGCTACCCTTAAATTACAATCTAGGTTGAATATCTTTCGATCAAGATATCTTAATTATCACAACAAAAAAATATGTACATATATGTAGGGGTGTACATGGATCGGGTGGTCCGGGTTTAGTTATTTTAATCATTCGACCCATGCACTACGGTTTAGAAAATATCAAACCCAAACCCACCCAAAAAAATTTAAACCCTACGATTTGTTTCTAATTGGTTTGGGTTGGGTTGTCGATATTTTTAAGTAAAAACCCAACCCAACATAAAATATATAATTATTCTACATCATAAAAATATTTTATAACTAATTAAAATTTTAAACGAATAAACCGTGGTGAAAGGTATCAAAATTCACAAATGTTGTTTGAATTTTAATAAAATGTGATTTACTTCAAAATATGTATAGTTTTTTTTTTTACGATATTTGTTAAATAGACTAAAAAGGTTATAAACAAACGCACCCACAATATGTTATTCTATTAAAACTGTACACAAGAAAAAGGTTACGTGAATCATAACTATATTCAATTTATGTCTAAACTTTAAGTCGAATAATGCATTAGATTAGGGAGACCCTGAGAGAAAAACATGGCGAAATATCTTAATTTTCTCATAAGTATGGCTATATACGACATAAATATTTTTTAGATACGAACTCATACTAATAGTTGGAACACGGGTTGGGTCGGGTATGTTTGAAATTGTAGGTGCAAAGCAACATTCTGAACCCTTATGATATTACGTCCAAGTCAATACTCAATTTATTCTACTTAAGTCTAGTGGCGGAGGCATTTTATATGAGGGCGGACTCGTGATCCACATTAGATTTGAAAGTATCTATTCACGCAATAATTGAATCACACAAATTAATGTTACACACTTGATGAAATGTATTTGTCTTTAATTTATTTTAACTGTTACGTAGATAAATTTATTCTACTTAAGCCTAGTGGCAGAGACATTTTATAAGAGGGCGGATCCCGTATATGAAAGTATCCATTCACGCAATAATGGGATGGGTTAGCATGCTAACTTCTTAAGGAGTTGGAAAAATGACACCCCCTTGTTAATTGGTCAATTTTTCATTAATTATTGACTAGTATTGATGAAAGTAGCCATAATAAATGTTCTGTTACTAAATACAAAGTAAGCATTAAATACACCACATTAATTACTCGTTTTTTAAAAAAAAAATCTAAACATATACAAAAATACAATTATCTCTCTCATATTTGATCTTTCTCTCTCCTGTCTCTATTCTTCCTTTCCGAGCAGCCTCCGACCACCACATTTCGCCGGTAAAATCCGCCGACAGACTCTCTCCGGTCACCTGCGAAAATATACCACTGCACTGATATGTTGTACCACTGCACTGATACTCATATATGACATTGATACCAGTGCATTGATATCGCTACCAGTGCAGTGGTATAGCTACCAGTGTAGTGGTACAACGTATCAGTGTAGTGGTATATTTTTTGCAGGTGGTCAGAGGGAGTCTGCCGATGAGATTTTCACCGGAGAAGTGTGGCGGTCGGAGAAAGTCTGGTGGTCAGAGGCTGCTGAAAAAGAAAAAATCACATATAGGGAGAGAGAATATATTTAGTGTAAGTTTTAATTTGAAAAAAACAAGATAATAATTAATATGGTGCATTTAATTCCTAATGTGTATTTAATGTGTGTATTAAATTCTATAGTTGTATTTAATACACTAGGGGGTGTCATTTTTCCAATCCCTTAAAAGGGTTAGCATGCTAACCCATCCCCGCAATAATGGAATCATGCAAATTAATGTTATGCACTTGGTGAGATGTATTTGTCTTTAATTTATTTTAACTGATACGTAGATAAATTGCAGTAAATAGACTCTTTAATTGTTAATTTCTCAGTTTCCCATTTCTTATTTGCTTTTGACTTCACCTCTCTAACCTAAAGCATATGGAAAAACCTTTACCTAACCGACAATGGTTGTGTCAAAGAACCCTCGAGGATCTCCGATAGTATATCAACTTGTAAAATTTGAATGTGTTGGAATGTACTACATAAATAACACACTTAGAGGTGGCAAATGGACTGATCCATGGATTGGTGGATTCAGAGATCAAATGGATTAGATCCATTGGATTGGTGGATTCATGGATTGGATCAAGTGGATTGGTGAATTATCCATGAATCCAAATGACATACTTAACCAATGACAAATATGTAAAATGTGAAAAGTTTAGGTACTAAAAAGTCATAATGAAAATTTTTAGGTACCAAAACGTAATTTTCCAACGATATTTTTCGTATAAAAGTTAAACTTTAGTTGCCAACATTTAAAATATAAAAAGTATGGGTACCAAACTGTAATTTGTCATTTGGATCAAATGGATTGGATTTAAATGAATTAGATTAAGTGAATATTTTTAATGGGTTGGTGGATTGGATTGGGAATTGCCACCTCTAAACACACTTCAAAGTCTAATGATTGATAATTCACGAAGATCTTTGTAGAATATAATGAAAGGGGGCATACTTGATAGCTAGTTTTTACAATGTACAATGAATGTGATTTCCAAAACTTTCACATTTTGAAAACATGGTTTATAATTTGTAAACATTGATTTAGTTCTCTATATCATTTTTTCCCCAGACGGATCTACCTTAAGTAAAATCAATCCTAGCCAGCCACTACTTAAACCCATGCGGGGCATAGGGCGGCAGGTTGCCAAAAGAAGCACGTACCATACCAGTAACAAAATTCCGATGAAATCTAACCAAGTAATCAACGAGATAATCATCTCTCCTATACGTGTAGTTGATTCAACACCTCTCAGATTCACCTTGCACAATGAGCTTTTGGTTTGGTTCCATTACACTTTATCCCGTCTTTAGACACACCAGATAGGTCTGTTGACACAAGAATACTTGGCAGGTTAGAGAAGCACCCAAGTAGACATTAAAAAGGGAGTTACAGAATCGGAATGGATGAGTTACCAACAGTATGCAAACGGATTTAAGTTATTATGGTGGTTCCATTGTGACATCATTTGTACACCAACCCCATGATTAAGTAAGAAGAACATAATGAGAATGTACAGAGTTCCCATGAACTGGTAAAAGAGGCCGTCATGGCTCAGCTGGCAGATACTGACGCCATTCATCAGGTGTCCCTTTTCTCCTCCTTAGCATCCTTAGTGCTGCACCTGTTAATGGTATGGCAAGTAAGTCGTAATCTTTCGGGGCCTGCAAAAAGATCACGGCTTTATGATCTCATTTTCTCGTCATAGACCTTGTTCAACTTCCAAACAATAAGTATTTGTCAATTTTTTTGTTATGAATTTGATCTACAGCTCTTGCTGGATTGTTATAGGAGAAAGTTAGGTACCTTGGGGAGCTTTTTCAGCTTCATATTTACTTCATCTAGAGTCTTCTGACCCTTCTTTGAGTTGCACTTGGAACAAGCAGTAACCTGTTAAAATATGAAGGAAGCCACAAAGGTAAGAGTTAATAGAACCTAGTTCTCATCTTCTCTTATTACTAGCAGTAACAACTAGCCAGGACAGTAAAGGACAATGTGTTGGGTCATTTAGTTGCATTATATCTCTGAATCTTCATATCACTGAAAATGTCCACCCTTCATCATATTGTAAGTTCTCTGAAAACAACTTCGAAATCTATGCGAAGTAAGAGAAGGTCAAACCAAGAGAACATCTTGTGTATATAATTATATATCGACAAGACAGGAAAAATACGGCATACCAGATTCTCCCATTTCCACTCTCCTCCTCGTGAAACTGGAAATACATGGTCAATGGTCAAGTTCTCACTTGAAGAACAGTACCTATGGCAATATTGATATTAATTTCCAGGGAAGTAAACTTTAACAAAGAATTTCAGTTCTCAGCCATGCAAAAGCATTGTTATGATGAAGCAAGATGGTTGCATAGAACAAATCTCTGGAGGTGGATTAGGAAAGGCTAATGGTAGCAAGCAGTTGGGAATACAAGATTTTATCATGAACAAACTCCATAACGTGAACCTCTAGATTCAGTTTCAGCATTTCAAGTTATATTGGGAGAAGTTAATAAGCGCATGCTAAAATTGACTTATACTGTCTATACTTAATCATTTTACTGATTAACCAGGAAACAACAATCAGCAGACAACTTACTGACACACATAGCCGTCGCGGTGCAATATATTTTTCCGGCTAAGCGTGTTTTTTATTCTTCGCCTTTTAACAACCTGCAGCAGATGTGGAACCTGAAAAGGAGAGAGTATATGGTATAGATCATAGATTATACAGCTCCAAGAAGTTTCCCGATTTATGAGAAAGCTAGAGGCAAAGAGGACCGTGAAAAGCAAATGACCAGCAAAAAAAGAAGAAAACAAATGAAAGCATTTTTAATTCCATACCCTCAATACTGCAGGTATGTAGTATGAACCACTAGGAGAGTTTACTGTTCGATCATAGTATTCTAACACATCAGCCTGGACATTAGAGAGTAAAGAACTCAGAAAGTCGTATTTGCAATCATAAGAATATGTTGCAGCCTTTGAATTAATGTTGGAGATAGGCAGAAAAGAGAGAGTATATCAATCAATCAATGTAGTGCAATTAAGAAAAACAGGTGAGAGGAAGAACAGATCAAGTCACAAGGAGTGATAAGAGCTGAGCATATATGCTTGCAAAACCTACTGGAGCAAACTGAGGTTTGAAGTAACACCTTCAGTAATGCTCACTGTGGTTCTCCTCATGGTAAAACCCATTGTTTCCATGAGAGAATAATAGCAAAAACTGCATTATGAACTTAACCTAATTGGACTTGGGGGGATCACATCAGTCCAACCTTCTCCATAAACTCCAAACATATGGCGCGCTTCCAGCAGACAACATTGACAGGCCTGGTGCAGGACAATAAAATCAGGATTTACCGACTGACAAATCCATGCAAAGTCATTTGGACGAAAGATAACATGGTAACTCAATCAGGAACTATAGTGGCAAGAAAACTAATCATCAAGTACAGTGAGTCTATCCTCTCTACAGATTTCAACGTCATCATTATAATGTGCAAGCTTTAGACTTTTGCCTATCACCAGATCAATGCATGCTATGAAAAATGCGAAATACAAGAAAATTTGCGAAAGAATATAAGTGGATTATTGAGCTTTTTCAGATGGGAAACCATGAGCACATCTTTTCAACTACGACTCCACAACTCACTACTAACCAACCAGAATCCAGATAGCAATCAAGCACGTTTATCCGAAGTCTTCAAAGCATATAGGCATTGAGTTCCAAATTAATCACCCCGGATAACAATGTTCTTCGTTGCATTCCACCACATCTGTAACTTTTTGTTCAGAAACTTCCCCTAAAACTACCTGTTTCACTTCTACTTTTGTCCATATTGAAATTTGATACACATGGGTTCTGCATCCCTCCAGATACACCCAAGGAAATGTAACCTTGTCTGGATAACTAAAAATAATGCAAACTCAACTTCGATCCCCAATTGCCAAGTTATGGTCCCGCCTTTCTTTCATTACACCAACCAAGAAGAAACTATCACTACCTTGGGCCATTAAATCTCTTGACTTAAGGCATTAAAACCGAAGAAGCATATGAAAAGAGCACCACTTTACTGTTCTCTCACAAAGTTCTTTCAATTCCCACCTCAGGATCAAATTTCATAGCACATAATTAACTCCCAACGGCACAATGCTTGGCAAGTAATCCCAAAACAAGTACTTCAGGCATTCAAGCAAAATTGATCCAGTAAAGGCTATATATACAACAGAAGTTTAGACAGTAGCACAAACAAGTTCAAGTTGAAAGGCTCTCATCTTGCATGCATAAACCAAGAATGAAGAATCAATCTAAAAGACAACAGAGCCTACACGAAGAATGGAAATGAAATGCATGAATTAAGGGCAGGGGAAATTAAGCTGACCTGTAAGAGATATCCAAGACCAAGCCTCTAAAGCAAGCCAATTCATCAGTATCAAAACCAGTCCCGTAAAAATCATCAATCTCATCATCATAACTCCCACCGTCGCCCTCACTCCCACTCTCGCTCTCGCTCTCACTCTCGCTATCGCCGCCACTACTCAGCCTTGCTTCCGCATAAAACTTGCTTCTGGTTCTGGGTTTGTCACTAGCGGAGAAAACATGTAGCTTAGTAGTAGCAGAGCCTAAAAACTTGAGTTTTCCATTGTGGAGATGAAAAGATCTGAACCCATCGCCAAACGCACCGCCCACTAGCTTATAGCGACCTCCGTCGCTGTTCAACAGCAGTTTCAGGCGCCCTTGAGCTGTGAATTGAGCCATCGTTCAACTTCAGCAACTGCTGCTGAACTCAAAGAGTAGTTGTGGGTTTCGCTGTGTAGCGGTCTTGGTAGAGATTTGTGATAACTGATATGCAATTCAGAAGTTATAGCGACCATTTTGAAGAGAAGAGGAGGGAGACATTGTCATTGGAAGTTGGAAAGAAGTGAAAGAAAGAAATATCTGTGGGTGGAGTGAAGAAAAGGCTTCACGGAAGAAACCATCGCCACACAACCGAGGAATATCTCTTTCTTAGCATTTCATTTTTCAGCTGGATTATTAATCACATCTTTGCCATCCCCTGCCTTCTCTTTTCATGCCCACATTTTGCCAATGTGCTATGAAACTTGTGTTATTTTAAGTCACTATACTGTATTATGTTAATATCCATTTCAATCCATTCATATAAACACGATTTGATAACCCATTGCTTAGTAACGAAAATTGAGAGAAACTAATAGCTCTGTTTTAGTCTCAATCTTTCTAGTAAGTAGGGGGTTCAATTCAAGAATCCTTAGCAAACTTGAATCAATCATGTTCAAGATCAGAAAAGGAACAGTTTGTTTCTCCAACAGCTACACGTTTCCATCTAATAACTGTGATCCGACACCAAAATTGGAACCCGTTTCTTCATTTCTTTTTTCCTTCCCTTCGTTCTTCTAGGATTGAGTCTATCAGAACAGTTTGGCACGTTACATATAACATAAAGCTGTCCCAGATTTGGCGGGAATAGCCCCAGATTGACCTAATTACAAACATCAACACTCCCAGCCACCCAACTCTTAAGAACCCCATCCCCCCTCCTGTTTCAATGGACAGTTGCCAATTCCGGAAGACCTCATCCATCAGAAAATCTCCAATATGCTCTCAATTCCCAGACCACCAGGCCAAGAGCTCCGTGATATCGAACCCAAATCTGAATCATACAGAGAAGAACATTATTGAAGCACTGATGTAAGAGTTAGTTATGAGTAGCAGAGAGAGGGGGGTGTGAGCATACCATTGCTGGACTTTCCTAAACTCAGTAAGCACAGGGTATATGTTCTCGAAGGCTGTGTATGTCTCATCTCTAACCTGTAGTGTCAAGAGAACGATGCACAAGTCATTTCACAATGCTGATGCACAAAGAGTAGAAGTACAAGATATAGGTATATATACATGGAAGCTCACCTTAGCTCCTGTTATCACGATTTTGCCTGAGACAAAAATGAGAAGTACAATCTTGGGTTGTTTCATTCTATAAATCAGTCCTGGGAACAGCTCCGGCTCGTACTGCATTTAAGTATAATTTGGTCATTCATTTGAGTTATAAAGAACAATGGAATCATAAATAGACTCCAAGTGTGACATGAACTTAAGTTCCGTGCATCAGATTGAAACATACACTTGAGAAAGCACCATGAGAGTACGCCAGACCCTCGAGTCTAATTGGGAACTTCACATCACATGAGCCAACTATGTTCTGAATCTTGAAGTCCTATAAAAACATTTGGGAAAAAAGGGTAAGCAGCAAGGAAGACAAATTATTCCAGACCCACATGACCAAAAGGAACAAAATTGTTAATAAAGGGAGGAAAAGAAAACCTTGAATTTCGCTGGAAAACCAAGCTTCTGGATGATTCGAGCATACTGGGGAAACAACATTTGCACATCAGTTTAACAAGATTGATTAATCAAACGCAACCGAAAGGCAGGTTAGATGTGACACACACACACCTTTCTGGCTGCCAATTTCGACTGCTGTTCACTTTTAGCACCTGTGCATACCTAGTAGTTCATGGAAAAACAACCGAAGTATATCACACACCAACAAATAGCTAAAGAGAAAAAATGGACACTTGCATATGTTTTTCCACTTTCAGAAATGGAACAGTTCCCAGTCAACTGCGTCATAATATTCCACTAGGCTCAGGGGGAAGGGTATTGATGATAACAAACAAACATTCTGCTTCATCAAACATCATCCTATAACATGGACTTTATGCATGCATATGACAAGTCAATTAACTTACAAAGGTGGCAAAATAGATAAATCATAAATCAAAGTGAGCCTACTTTAAAATTTTAAAACAATGCAACTATTGGGGAGAGCAGCAAGGAATAGTTACGACGCATGACTAAAAGCAGCAAGCTTGAGAAGCTCAGGTGGGGAAGCTTACCATTTTCCCTGAGGCAAAGATAAGTGCCGTGGTTTTAGGTTCCCTGATCCTCATAATAACAGCAGCAAAACGCTGCAGAGAAACACTGCTTAGTAAATCAAGTTGCCAAAAGGGTCAACAACAAGACATACACAGAGACCTCAGACGTTCCACAAGCATTAATCAAAAACCCTTTGGAACATACTTTAGGGTTATATTCTGCATTACGAGCTTGCAAAGCGATTTGCTTTAGATCCAACTTGCAATCCAAGTTCACTGTCGACACAATGTTCCTGAAGATGAGGTAACAACAACCCATGTCACTCCTACCCATAACAACAGCGATCTCAAGGAGAATGACGTATTAACCCACGAGGTTCAGATCTGTAGAGAGCTTGGACGAAAGAAACTTACTGTAGGGTGGGAACAATGCCAGAAGGGTGCTTGGAAAGATCCACCGGTTGGCTCCCTTCCAAGCCTCCTTGTTCCGCCATATATCAGGTTTTTTCTTCCCTGAATCCGTTTCTCAAAAAAAATACCCAGAACACAAAATCAAATCTTGTTTCTTTTTTCCTTTTTCCAGATTAGGGTTCTCTTTCGATTCTCTTTTTGCCCCTTTTCCACCCACAAATATGAGAAACCGGACTCTACCCACGAAAAGTAAACCCACAAACAGATCAGAAGAAGGATCAAAATCGCGAAAGCGGGAACAAGTTAGGGTTCCAGGTTACGAGCGATCGTGGGAATCTTGCAACCGATTATCGAGTGGTACAGTGATGAGGATAAGAGATCCGAATTGAGGAGGGAAAAAGGAAAGGGGGGAAGAGGGGGGGAGAAGATTTCGAAAAGACGGTAGTTTTATAGGTTCTTGAAGGATTTATAAGAAGGAAGATCTGTCTGTTGGGAGAGGATTGGCGAGAGGATTTGGGATTTTGAGGGTTGGCGTTTGAGAGATCTGAGAAAAGTGAGGGGGAGAGGAAGTCTTGATGGCGATGAGGAGAGAGAGAGAGAGAGAGAGAAGGCGCTGGGGAAAAGGTTGAAGCGGTTTTCCCTTTTTTGTACCCAGGCTAGCTTATATATAGTGCCGCTGGATCAGACAGGTTGTGAGAGGAGGATTACCGGCTGGTGCCGGTTACTGGGGGTGCTTTCGGAATTTCCCTGTGTGGGGTGAGACTGGGCAACGGGTGAGTGATATTTTCCCTTGTTCTCTGATTTGGATAGGGGTGTACATGGGTCGGGTGGGTCGGGTTTGAACCATTTAAGTCACCCGTTGTATAGACTATGGTTTGAACAATGTCAAACCCAAACCCACCCACTAATATAAAAAACGTTGTCGGTTTGCTTCGGGTTGGGTCGGTTTAATTTGGACCATGCATCCATAGAAAACCAACCCAATACAAGATATCACCTGCTTCAATTTAGTAAAATTTTGTCATTCTCCTGTTTCACTTTTTCCTTCAATTTAACAAAGACACATCTGTAAGTTATAGCAACAATACATAATTCATAATAAACTAGACATCCTCCTCCAAATAGTATCTTCATTACATCATTCCTATTAGAACACATAAAAGGAGACTAAATAAACATCAACTGCTGTTTGCATCGCAAAAACCTGGCAATTTTAGCAGCCAATACTAAAAGAGTTTAATACTCTTCCAGCATCAGAAGAATGTTGCATTTACAAAATTACAGGATATCTTCCCGTCTTCAATTAAACTATACAGCAGCATCTTCACTTAAGCTTTACAGCAGCAGCAATGTTAATGTACAAAAGAGCTCCTACAAAATTGTGTAAAGCAACATATATATTAGTATTAGTAAATGAACGAACTTGAATAAAAGTTCTATAAAATTAAACCATCTAATCACCATTTACTATCTAGGCATCAATAATAAGTCCATCATCTTCAGTCAATATGAATGGACTTGAATCCAAGAAGTCTGGCAGAAAAGGGAAATGGTTAGCTACTTCAAAATGAAAAGTAGTCAATGTAAGGAAATAACTCAAAAAAATCAGCACATTACCATTAGCTTGATCTTCATTTGGATCTGAAAGAGCATCGAGTGGAACAGCCTCTGAGTCATTTATAAGTGGCTTTGAACGCAACCAATTTTGAGTACACACAAGTGCCTCAACCATTCTTGGAGCAAGACTTGTTCTAGAAGGGTCTACAATGCGCCCACTAGTGCTGAAAGTTGACTCACTTGCCACAGTTGACACCGGAACAGCTAATACATCTCGTGCTACTTGAGCAAGAATGGGATAGATTGATGAGTTAACTTTCCACCACAATAATATATCAAATTCATCCTTCAATTTCTCACAAGGTTCTGCTAAATACTTGGCACACTCTGATTTTCCTCCAGAACTGTCCTTTTCTTCCATTGCTCTTGCAAATCTTAATTGTCTCAACTTTGCTGGATCCTTTTCAGCCCCAACAAAACTAGTAGTAGAATCTGATCCTCCTTCACTAACAACCCCTTTCTCCTTACCACTACTTCCAGAATCAACCAAATACTGATCATACAAACGGTTTAACACCTTTTCCACATTGTTAGTAAGTTGTTTAGCATGAGCTTCATTGTACAAATCCTCAAAGCAGTACTTGACATACCGAAGCTTATATCTAGGGTCTAAAACAACAGCCACATACAACAATGGATTAAGATTTTCAACATTCACCCAGTATTTCATAAACTTTGACATCATCCGAATGGACATGTCTCTGAGCATAGCATCATCACTTGATGACAAATGAACCATTTCATCTTGCAAAGCAATTAACTCGTGAAAGAACAAGTTTGAAGTTACACTCAATGTGCTGGAAAATTTCAAGGTCACCATATAAAATAGCTCAAGAAATTTCAGCAAGCACCTAGCTTTATCAAAGTCATCATCCATTGGTGGTCCTAATAACTTGTTCTTTTTCTTCCCCTTTCCCCTTGTATTTCCTACTCCATTTCCATCATCAGCCCCACCATCAATCTCCTCATCACCACCATTAAAGTACCCTAAGTACTTAGAATCTTCATCAGTCATCCTTGCAAATGCTTTTTCAAACTGTTCAGCTGCTCTCAACATCACATATGTTGAATTCCATCTAGTTTCAACATCAAGACCAACTAATCCTTTGAATTTTATCTCTTCCATCTCAATGCATCTCTTAAAAATCAATAGTCTTGCTGGAGAAGACCGAACATACCTTACAGCATTTCTAATTTTAATGACTGAATCATCCAATTCTTTCATTCCCTCTTGTAAAATCAAATTCAAGATGTGAGCAGAACACCTAAGGTGCAATAATTCATGCTTTAATACTGTTCCACCAGTATTTTTACTTCTTCTCACAATGTACTTGATGGCACTATCATTAGTGCTCGCATTGTCAACTGTTATAGTGAATATCTTATGAATACCCCACCCTTTCAAACAACCCTCAATTGCTTGTCCTATAGTTTCACCCTTATGATTAGCAATTGTGCAAAGATTCAGAATTCTTTTATGGAGTATCCATTCATTGTCTATCCAATGTGCTGTAAGACACATGTAGTTAAGATTCTGATTTGAAGACCAAGTGTCTGTTGTTAGGCACACTCTTTGAGTCTTTATCACTCTTTTTAACTTCTGTTTTTCAGCTTCAAATAATGCCAAACAATCTCTACTAATTGTAACTCTAGAAGGTATAATAAATTCTGGACGCAAAGCCCTAGAATACCTTCTAAACCCTTCCTTTTCCACATCTCTGAATGTTTTTTCATCTGTGATTACCATCCTAGCCAGCTCTTTTCTACAAATTTCAGCATCATATCCTAATGCTTTAAGCCCACCAATACCTCCCCCACTCTTTGGCTCAAAACACAATGTCTTCTGTTTCTTATCATTCTCATATAAAGGGCACTTTGTGCATTGTTTTTGGAGATGAGTCCATAAATTACTAGTTCCATGCATTTGTTTATCAGCGGCATAAGACTTCCCACAGTAATTACAAGCTGCTCTAGCAGTTTTCTGCTTTTTACTTGCTGGAGTCCAAGTGAAGTGGCCCCAAATTTCAGACTGAATAGATGGCTGGCTACTAACCTGAACTTTAGTTCTTTTCATCTTTTGAGGCTTAGGAGGAAGGGACGTACCAGCTTTTGCACCCGCTGCAACATCATTGTCATTTCCTTTATTTTGAGGTAGAATAGTGCCAACAACAGCAGAATTCGGTTCGATTTTCACCCCTACTCTCTGTAGCAGTAGCTATGTCCCCTTCATTCATGGTAGGAACCTCTCTATCCATCTGTATAATAAATAAAAACACTATATATTAGATCAATCTTAATCTAAGAGGTAAAAGAATGAAAGGGTTGACTGGAGAAATTAGGGGAAGAAAGTGCATACAACTCAACAATGAGTTGGTAATCCTAGAGATTACAGGACAAAGTAACAAATATTGCCCACAAAACACTAGGTTTGGGGGGATTGGTTTGTTCGGCCCACAAAGAGATAGCAGCAGCCGACAACATATACATCCCTTGCCCCCACAACTTCCCTAAGTCATGCTTTTTTCACTAATGATTTACACTACACTTTCACAAAGGCAGTTCAGTAAGATTCTAGCAATTTTGAGCAAATCCTGATGGGATCTCACAGCAACAAACTTCTGTCAGTATGCCTAATGGTAATCGGTAGGGGAGAACAATAACAAATCAGAGTAACATCATGTAACAGAACGCCAAAGCAGCAACCTTAGCCGGCTCAAATTCTTAATTCGTGAAAGAAAGAACAAAACCCTAAAATAGCACAGTCTCGACCACCTTGGAACGAGTTGAAATCAACTCCTGCTATCACGCCTGAGCGGTCGTGCCTGCACAGGTTCTACTGAGATGGCCGATGGCCTTCAATCTTTAGCCTTCAGTGATGGTTGCCTTTGGTTGGAGAAGAAGCAGGGGAAAAGAAATTGAGAAGGCGATTATAGAGTTAAGCTTCCATGATGATTGTTGAGTAGCATAAAGCTATTAATGATGGACCAGGTGATGTTTGGTGGTGGATGGGGGCATTTCTAGTCACTGATCGTGGATTATTGGAGGTTGGAGGTTTGGCGGCAGAGAGCTTCCTCAAGCTCGAAAGATGAAGAGGAAAAGAAACCCTAGATTTTAGGTCAACCTCTCTTTATATACATACACAAAATTAAAAGTCGGGTCGGATCGGGTTTGACGGGTTTCGCCACCCCAAATCCGGATCCAATCAGATATATATATATCCCCCACACACAAGCCCTTTATCCGCCACTTAACCTCCAATTTTTACTAATTTCCGGGTGGGTCGGGTTGGATCGGCTGGGTGGGTCGGGTTTCGGGTGGTTTTGTTCACCCCTAGATTTGGACAATTGGGCGGGCTGCATTCAGTTTTCGTGTTGGGTGGATATCATGCAAAGCAATCTTCCTAATTTTGGGCTTTACTGGAATTCCGCTCCACGGGCCCAGTATATGAAGAATGGCCAATACTACGGTGCCGCCATAAAAACTGCGGTATCGATGACGCTGACTTTTATTGGGTCATGTAGAGCTAATGCCTGATGTAACACTAGCATTGGGCCCGCCCGTTGGCCGGATGAATTAAATAGATAGTAATTACTTGAATTATTCATTTGGTACCGTAAAAGAATTTCACCTCATACAACGTCATACCTCCATCACTAAATTCACATCTCTGCTATTAGTATACTCTTTCTTCTTCTCGTGCATATCACTGAATGCAAAAATTTAACGGCCAAATATTTTGAATTGTGAAAAATTCCATTTTCAATAACTTCAATTTACCAGTACATGTCCTAAACTTTGTTTGATATCCCTCTTCTTCATCCTTTATTATCTTCAAAACTGTGTACCCACGTATGGGGTTCGTGATATTGTAATTAGTGAGCTTGATCTGAAAATTTAATTTCATGATCCCAGTTTGTGTGGTATAAGGCAGTGAAGGTTCTATCATTTGTCACTATCTTTGAGTACTTTCTCAAAAAACATTAAAATCCAGCTTCCTTGCGATACATAACAAT